GGAAGAAGCTGGCCAGGGAGGTGGTGGGGTCACATCCCTGGAGGAGTTCAAACATCTTGTGGACGTGGTACTTTGGGACGTGGCTTAGTGCTCGTGGTAGTGTCGGGTTGGTGGTTGGACCTCGTGATCCTCCAGGTCTTTTCCAGCCTTAATGATTCGGTATGGCTTGGTGGAGGTCCCTTGCCAGCCCTCCTCGGCTGAGTGGTGTCTTTCTCTCCCACAGGTGCAACCATGGCCAAGTCCAAGAACCACACCACGCACAACCAGTGTAAGCCGGGCAGGGGGAGGCGGGGAGGGGCAGTGGTGCCTGAGGTGGCCGAGGGCTGTGCTCCACAGGGAGAGTCTGATGAGCTGCTTGGAGCGTTTCAAGCTGCTTTGAGCTTCTCACCTATGGCAGCCCAGTTTTCCTTTTGTTTTGTGGCAAGAGAAGCTTCTTGGGGATGAAAAGAGCTCTGCGTGAGTCAGGGTGCATTTGGACTCAATGTAAAAATAATATGTAGCCAGAAAAAAAAAAAATCAAGTTTTCTGTTTGAACTAAACACATTACTAAAGGGCATTCAGCCTGTGATGTTTTTCCATCCACAGCTGACTGTGGTGATACAATTGTTCTGTTTGGGGCTTTTTCATCAATGCTGTAAGCTGGCAGAGTTCACGGCCAGGTGCTGCTTGGTCTTGCACAGGGAACAGTGGTGCCTTTAGTGTGTTACTAGGTAGTGAGGAGTGCAAAATCCTTGGGTTGGAAGCTCCTACAGCACTGAGAGCACAGTGTGCATTGGGATGAGAATAGAGGTGCATTCTGAATTTACATTTTGTTTGGGTAGGAATAACCCTTCCTATTTCCTATAGAAAATTTTTTTCCCACTTGTTTTTGGTGGGGTCAGCTGGACACAGAAGGCAGCTAATGCAGCCATTTCATAATAGCAGGACTGATAACTGAAATCACTTTCTTGTCTTCTCTGTAGCCCGTAAGTGGCACAGAAATGGCATCAAGAAACCCAGATCTCACAGATACGAGTCTCTCAAAGGGGTGAGTATTTCTATTGATGTTCCCACACAGTTAAGTTGTCGAAGTCTAACCATGCAAAAAAATCCAATATTAGTGTTATTTTGACCAATGTATTTTTTTTGCAGACAGGGATTTGTTTCACATGGTCAGAATTACTGTGCCTTTCTGTTTTATCTTCTGCTTACCTTACATGCAGCTGTGATATTTCTGACCCACACAAAATCCACCCTTGTATCTCTGCAAAACTGCATTTTTATTATTGGCCACTTTGCTTTCTGTCCTGCTCAGGTGGGTGTCACTGACTGCTGCTTCCACTGGAGCAGACCTGTGGCAGCTGGAGAGCTATGCTCCCCCTGGGTCCTGCTGTCTCTCCTGCTTCTTTGTACGCTCCCAAATTATTTCATGATCTGTTTTAATCTGGAGAATTTCACTCAGAAGATGAACGAAATTGTCATTTCTGGAGAATACACATGAAATGGCAGCTTTCTACTTTTTCTAGAATTAGACAACTGATATAACACAGTCTTTTTCCACATTTGAAAGCAAAAATGGGACATTTTGGCTTTGGGGAGGGTTGTGATTCTGTTTGCCTTGTAGATGTGATTATTGACTTTTAGAATGTGATGTAAAACCTTGTCTTTGGTGCAGCTCAGGGAAGGTTCAGTCCTGCCCCCTCCTGCAGGCAGCCCAGCAGCCTCTGTCTCCTTGCACTGAGATCACAGGACTTAAGACAGCAAAATCCAGAGACTCATGGGTGCCAGTTAAAATGCTACTGACAGTAAAATAGCAGAAGTTTCACAGTGGGACAGTAGCTGATAGTGCTGAGAATTGGTCCTAGCAATGATAGGGTATATTAGATGACAAGGAGTGGGGAACTCTTCTCTGTGCTGTTTTTTTCCTTTAATGTAAAAACAAAAGGCCTGAGGAGGTGGCGTTGGTCTTTGCCCAGGGATTACATGTTTATGTGCTCACCTGCCAAGGCTGTTTTGGGGTACTTCAGATCCATAATGTGACGTGGAATTGAAATTTGTCTTGTTCACAGCTGTACTCAGATTGCCCATTCCATGTAGGAGTGGGGTTGGGGGGTGGTTTGCATATGGAAATTAAGGAAAATAGCTAGACTAAAGGTTGTTCACAGATGGCTAAAGTAATTTTGTTGGTGTCATGTGTCCCTTCTACATCATGGCTTATTTATTCCTTGTATTTATAGGTTGATCCCAAGTTTCTGAGGAACATGAGGTTTGCAAAGAAACACAACAAAAAGGGTCTGAAGAAGATGCAGGCCAACAATGCCAAGCAGGCTGCTCAGCAGAAAAAGGACTGACGTGGTTTAGGACCAAGGAACCAGTTTTCCTATTGGCATGTGTGTTACAGCATTTTTGTAAAAATAAAATGGGATGTAACAAAGTCTTCATCTCTTGAATTTGAGGGAACCCTCCAAAAGTCTTGCTTGAGTTGTATTTTGGGTGCCAGCCATGCATCAAGGCCGTGTGTAGTAAAATTGCTTTTGATACTGGTGTGCATGTTCAGAGTTCTCTGATACCACAGATGTTATGATCATCCCTAGTGCTGCTGAGGCAAGGTGAGGTTTCCCAGGGCTGTTGCTGTGGCTTCTGCTTTGCTTTGCAGGTAAGGTGGGTAGAGCTATGGAAATCCTGAAACAGGGGAGGGTGCTGAGTGCTAGCTGTGGTGTTAGAGGCTGTAGCATTTGTGTTCTGAAAGACCAGGGAGTATAGAAGTGTTAATGAAGCTGCCATGGGAATGTGTAAGGCTATAGGACTATATAAATACGCGGACTTTCACAGTTACTCATTTTAGTGGAGACCTTTCATTCTGGTAGCAAAAAATTACCTGCCTGATGAAATGTGCTGACTGCTGAGATTGAGCCCGAGGGGTGCTGTGACAGGGTTTTGTTACTACTGTCCTTCTGTGGGTCAGGAGAGGACTTCACTCCCAGGTCTCGCCATCCATCAAAGCTGATTCAAGAGGTGCTTTTTTTAATTGCTGAAATGAGCCACCTGTTGAATGCAACACAGTTCCTGAAATTGCAGTTCCAACAGTTGTCCACCTGGTGGTGTGAATCCATGAGTCGGTGCAAGGGCTGGAAGTTTGCAAGTGGCTTCTCACTTGCAGTGGAGCAGCAAGACACCTGCTGGATTAAAAGAAACAACTATTTCAGCTGAAACATCCAGTTAATGCTATTGGGTTTTTTTAAATTAGTTTAGCCAAGTATCAAAATAAAATGTTATTTTGAAACAAGGTATTTTTAGTTCTTTGTGGCTTGAAACAAGGTATTTTTAGCTCTTTACGGCTTGAATTCAGAAGTCTTCCCAGTTTCCAGTTTTTGTTTTGGTGGGTGAAAAATACCACCCAGCCCTAAATCAAGCAATATAAACATTCACTAATTTAAAACTCAGATGTTGAGGGCTTTTAAAGTCTGAGGGAAGTCTGCAGCTGGTTCCTGCTGTGAGCATTTCTTGGACTGTTGTGGAGGTTGTCATCTGAAAGCATGTTATTGCTGTGCTGGTCGGGAGGGTTCTGGAGAGCATACTCGCTGTCCATGCCAGCAGGTAGGGTCTGCTCAAGTCAACACTGAAAGGTTCTGAGGTCCCCTGCTGCCTTCAGGCACACCAGAAGGTGGATTGGTGAGAGGTTCCTTGTGTTAATCCCTCCTGGAGAGTGTTTTGGCAAGCGGTATGTCGTCCAGAGACAGGCGGACAGCGCGTGGAGCCCGCTGGCCTCGGTGGTACCCGAGCGCCTCTGGGCGCTGGAGGTCTCGAGTGGCATGGTCTGCTGCAGGTACATGTTGTGGCAAGGTGAGCAAAAGGAAAAGCCTTGGTACAGAGGACTTGGTGCTGCCAGGCTGCACCTTCACCCATGTGCCTGCGGATCTGAAACCTCATTTTCTGTGCTTTAAATCTCTGAGAAGGGAGATTTCCTCTCTAACCCCCTTTGGTGTTTTCCCCAGAGTGCTTGTGCTGTGAGAGTAGCTCACCAGCAGGATGTGCTTTGAGGGAAGTGAGAGACACCAGGGATGGCCTGAGAAAAGGGATGTTGGTGTGTTAATGAGAAGCAGAGGAAGATTTGGGCTTCCTGTGGCTCCAGGCAGCTCCCCCAGGCCTGCCTTCAGCAGCAGCCTTTTCATCTCGCTGCCCTTCACGGTGCCCTTCAGTGGGACAGCTTCCCAAATATGGGCTTGCTGACTTTCTGACCAAAATAGCGGCTGCGTGACAAAATGCAGCACGGAGGAATGTAACCTTAATCCAGGCATCATTGTGTAGCAAGAGACAGGAATTTTGTGACCTTCCACAGCAGCTCGGTGTCAGGTTCGTTGTCTGCTCCTGCACACGTGGTGGCCCTGCAGGACGCTGCCTGGACACCGGTTGGTCGCCTATTTAGCTTTCTAACCCTGTGACAGCTCAGTCCACGAATTCCCTCCTTGTTGTAGAGGTTGCCCCAGCCCAGAAGAGGGAGAGGAGGAGAGCTGCAAGGTGGAGTCTGTGCTGGCATGGCCTCGTGGTGGGTCTTCATCCTCTTTCCCTTGCCTTGGGAAATCATTTTAGTTCTGCTGGTCAAGTGAGGCTGAAGCTCCTTTTTGGGAGGATTATGTACACGGAGCCCAGGAAATAGAACTGGCAGCTGTGGCCCACTTGAAACTGTTCCCATTAGGCAGAGCCCTGTCATCTTTGACATTTAAAAACTTCAAAACTTTTACAATTACGTCCTTGGTCCGTGGCAGGAAGCCAATGAGCTTGAGAGTGCCTCTGCTCAGCTACTGCTGTACCTCAGGTTGTATGTCTGGTGCTTGCTGTTGCTGCTGTACTTGCTGCAAGCTGGTTTCTCCCCTTTGCAATTAAGAGTACTTGGTATCAAGTTCCTGTTTGGCTCCTTTTTTCCCTTTGATTAAAAAAAATAGCAATAACTGGGGAGCAAAGGGCATGTAACCAAATACTGAGTCAGCTCGTTTTGCAAAGGTGAGCCAAGAGCACAGAGCTGGGGAGGAGAAATCGGAGCACTGCAAAGCCAGTGGGGCAGAGTATTCACCGGGGATGTGGATGTTCACGTGAAAAGTAGGGCTGGATGCATGATGCTCTGTCACCCTTGACCACCTTTCAGTAGAGTCTTAGAGTGGTCAAGCCAAAAGCAGTAAACAGGACACGAGAGCTGCTTTGCCCAAGTTTTGAGGCTGTTGCAGGCGTTTCTACAAAATGTGGTGAAATGTCTGGCTGATGGACCTCAGCTCACATGTAGCTTATATTGCTGCTGCCCTGGTGGCAGGTGTCTGAGTAGGCAAAGTGGCAGAGGTTTTACTGGGGGAATGTGATGGGGCTTGCTGAGATGTGATTGAGGGCCTGGGTTGCCCGTTGGCTGGGTGGCTGTGGCTGGTATCACTTGGCCTTGTGGCCAAAGCCCAGGTATTTGCAACTGTGGAGTTTTTCAGGCCTGGGCTAAAACTTTTCATCTGTGTCTTCAGAAGCAGGTCTCAGTGGAAAACCACCTCTGCTGCCACACTGAAGAGGTGGAAAATGGTTATTTTTGATCTCTAGGCTATTGATTAACTGGAAACAGAAGACAGTAACACTCGGGGGTGTTTCGTGTCCCAGGGTTGTTTGACTCAGCACATTCCTGTGTCTCTTGGCCTCTGATGCACTTGCAGTTCTGCTGAATCAGCAGGAGCTGTGGCATCGAGGGATTGGGACTTTTGGGGAGACCCCTCTGAGCAGATCTTCCAGATGTTGCATTAGGGGTGTTCCCAAAATATCCTGTGTTTTAAGGAAGATCAGCTGCTCTAGCTGACTCTAATTTCCTCAATTTCTTTGCTGTTACAAGCCCTGGTTGGGCAAAGCGTTTGCTGCTCCCTGTCCAGAGGAAAGACAGAGCCGTGTTCTTCCAAACAACCACCCCCCCCCCTCTCCTGCCTGTTCTCACCTCAAGCTTCTTTGCTCTGAATTAAAGTACTGTAACTACAAATGAGAGCATATCACGTCAAATAGAGCTACTCAGGGTGGTGTTTCTACAGAGGGAGAACACAGGCGCTTGCTTGGGGCCACAGTGTGGAGGGTGCTGGGGCCCCGGGCAGGGCAGCCTGCTCCCCCAGGGTCCGGGGCAGCATCGCCGGGGCCCTGCCAATGTTTATTTTGCTTGTGTAAACGCTGGATTTTAGCAACACGACTGCAATGTGTGAGCTGTGCTGGGGCTGTAATTCGAGGGGAGGAGGCAGCTATGTGCAGGGAGAGCTGCTTTTTTCCGTGCTTCCTTGGGGTGAGGAAAGGTGCTGCCTGGGCCCTTGGGGACAGCCTGTCTGGTCCTCCTTGGCCCTGCTGTCACCTTGTGCCCGCGGGCCAAGATCCAAAGCGGGGTTGTGCCTTCCTCACAGCCCCTGTGGCGCAAACAGATGTGTTTTCTGAGGGAAAGTCACCCGATTCAGTCCTTGCAGTGGCACTCCCACCCAGGGCTGCTGGAGGACCTTGAGGTGCTGCAGGGCTGCCGCCGTCTGCCTCCCGCCAGGCTGCCTGAGGTGGGAAGGAGGCACCCAGTCCAGATTAGGAATGGCTTTTATTCACATTTCCAAAGAAAATTGAGGTCTTCTCTCTGCAGGTGCCACAGGGTAGCCATCAGGATGGCAGGGAGGAGAAAGGGACGTCCCTTCAGGACAGACAGAGCGAGGGGGAGAGGGATGGTCTCTCACCCGTGCCTCTGAGTGATGGCATGATTGTAATTCACAACGCATTGCTAAAATGCTGCCGATGCTTCAGTTAAACCAGCAGGCAACAGTGCTGGCTCCTGAGCCCACTCCCCATGGCAGGGGCGAGGAGAGGCAATGTGGTGGCTCCCCACTGAGCACCTGTGGTAGCCCCGCTGGCCAGGCTTTGCTGCTGGGCTGGCAGAGAAATACCTCTTTGGGGGCTTAAAGCTCCAGGTGTGATGTCACCTTGCCAGATGTGGCTCATGGGTGCTCAGTGTGACCCCGTTAGTCATGAGTACATAACCAGGGTGAAGCTCTCACTGCACCTCCAAGGAATGACCATCTGAGGCACTCGGTATCAACGCGTTTTATTTTCCCAGTGGCCACCCTTCTCAGCACTCTGTCTTCATGCCGGTAGCCAGGGGACTTAGCCAAGGAGGTGAGGTGCAGAACTGGAGGATTATAGGAGATTCGGGCTATCGGCCTGGCTTCAGATTTATTCAACTCCCTTCATGAACTCCAAGAACTCTGCCAAGGGGAAGACATTGGAGACAAGGGGTGTGAGGTGGGATTGAAGTTCCCTTGCAGCTGCCAAGTGCCCTCTTGGCAGCTTTACTCAGCCCTGTCTCCTTTTCCATCCCCCTGATGGGCGAGAGGCTGATGAGGGAATGGCTACCGTTCCTCTGAGTGTGGCAAGGACTCCTCGTGACTCCTGCTGGAAATGTCACTGGAGCCCAGTGTCATCCTTGGCTGCCACCAAAATGCCGGAGGTGAGCAGCCAGGGAGGGACACAGC